GTACCCCAAGCTTATCAGGCCGGGATCGGTCTGCGATGATATTATCTCTAATGTGGACTTCGCGGCGACTTGGTTGGATCTGGCTGGGCTGCGAATCCCCTCGTACATGCAGGGTGTGTCGTTTGCTCCGCTGCTTAAGGGGAAGACGCCGGCGGATTGGAAGCAGGTCGCGTACCATCGGTATTGGATGCATCGGGATCCTATTCATAATGCGTATGCTCATTATGGGGTCCGCAATCAGCGGTATAAGTTGATTTATTGGTATGCGGAGGATTTTGACTTGCCGGGAACGCAGGAGGGTGGACAGCCGAAGGAGTGGGAGCTGTTTGATTGTGAAAAGGATCCTCTTGAGTTGTTTAATGTGTATCATGACGCTAAGTATGCGGAAGTGGTGGTTGAGTTGACGAGGCTGTTGGATGAGACGATGCTGAAGATTGGGGACACCCCGGTGCATTGAGGGATGTGTATAGTACGTATAGTTAGGGGGGTTAGACAATATTCAGGTAGAGTAGAAGAGGCGCTTATGCTAGAGTTAATAAGAGGATGGCTAAGTTGTCTGAACCAGAAAGTGAGGAAGGAGAGAGTATAAAGTGATTTCAAGATCATGACATGTATAATTCTATAAGACTAACTGTATATTGAAAGGAAAATGGCTATAGGATTTCACATTAGAGAGGCGCTCAGTTTAGACAACACATCAATACCATAGCTTCATCTTATCAGAACACCCTCGAAGATTCAAACCTGTATAGTGTTAGAAAGAAAAACAAGATAGGATGAGTCAATGACTATCCAATGCTGCTGCTTCAGCCTCCCGCTTACCACACATTGCTGTATTGATTAGTATGTAATGAAGCCCCCTACTGTCTGGTAAGGCCCCGTCGGAGATGCTCCTATCGCCGGGAGCTGTCAGAAACGTTCATTGTCGCCGCCTTTCTTCATGGCATACACTCTAAGCTGAGTTTGTTATCGTATAGTCCAGCAATTGATACCGGCACTAATAAGTCCATTACTAAAGAGAAGTGCGCTTTCTGCCTTCATATCACGCCCCTAGTTGATAGGAGTAGGATGTGTGTTGTCCAAGTGCCACTCAGATACATTAGGAGAAGATACCGTTGATCTGAAGCGCATTTCCTGCTTCTCTGTATAAGGGGCCCCAGGATCATACCACCCACAGCTCCCCAGGCCAGTCCCACCAAAGCCAAGACTTTTACAGGCTAGGCAGGAACGAGTACGCGCCAGCTAACTCTTGGTACTGTGTAGCTAACAACCTGCACGTTTCACCGCCGATTTTTCTGTGATGGTGTTGACTCTTCACTCAGGGACGTTGTCTCGCATGCAGACGTCCAAGAGCTTCTCGCTTCGCCGGTAATATAAGGAAATCACCAAAGAAGAAATAATTTTTCGAGATTGTATATGAATTAATCTTTACTTCGACTGTACCCTAGACCATTCCCGATTTCACGTTTCGAAATACAAAAATACGAAAAAACCTGTATATTCCCCCCCAGACGGCGCTGCATCGGACAAGTCCAAGTCCGAGACTGAGTAGTGCCTCTATAGCCGACGATAGTGGACGGGGCATGTTACACACCCCCTAGAACCCCCCGGAAGCAGATGGCTTGCGAATCCCGTTCTGCCAAGAAAGACAGATAAGTTAAGCTCATTTACGGGTGGATAATTGTGCTTGACTCTGATAATAGTCTTAGAATCCCGCGAATACCACCAGCCTTGAATCTCTTAGCTATCTTGGACCTGCTCCACTATGGTGCTCCCCAGCAACTCAAGAATCTGTAAAAGATGCATTCTGCTTCGTGGAAAAACCTTTGTCGATGAACTCCGTGTCTAAAGCAGTTCGCTCTTGCAGGGCCCTACGAGTTGATCGACACAGCTCCTTCGCTTGGATGATAGGACACGAACCAGTGATGTAGCATTTATTAGCCACAGATGTATAATGATGCTCGACAGAGTGCAGTGATTAGCTCCAGCAAAACGGATCGTATCAATTTACTGGCGGTTGAGACCGCCCGGAGTTCGACTACACTTAATATCGCGGTTTTCTTGGCAGGAAGAAGTCCAGTCCAGAGCTGACCTCGACACGGGTGAAAATATGTGACAAATTAACTGATATCAGGATGCAGATATTGGTTTCCATGCCATGGACAGCATCACTTTGTTCCAACCAGTGTGATCCCTTGGAAGTACAACGGGGTTGAGGTTTCACACTTCCATGGATCCAGGTTAGGGTTGGCGCCGACCCACTGCGGGCCCGGAAGATGAAGAAATTGAAGGTGAGAATAGAAAGATTCCTGCGACGCCACAGCCCACAATATCATCCCACTGCATTGCATTACCCCATGGGCTTGTAAGACATGAGATGGTCGGCTATCGGAGAAGCTAGCATGATCGCGTATCGGAAAATTGTCTGCGTTCGTGTGCACAATATTCCTAAAATTTATCCGATGATCAGCCGAGGAACCAGGGTCGAACCCCTGAAAGGAATGTCGCCGAAAGGATCAGCCATATTGATTCGCGGACCCTGTAAATGCCCTAAAGGGTCTTTGCCAGAGTCTCGATAGTGGGATCGGCAGTGGCAGTTTCTAGTCTCGTCAGTGCGGTCTTTTCCGACCGATCCGTAGTGTTGGTGGGTCCCAAAGCAGTCTATATCGATATCATCACCAAATTCCAAGGACCATCGGATGACGAGGAATATGCATTGGCACTGAGAATTGCCGAGATGATACATGCTCTGCCGGTGCATCCACCAAGAATGTTGCGACAGAGTGAAACAGCGTGGATAAGCTGGATGGGGCAGATGGAGGAAGAGAGCAAGACACGGCATCAGCAGTGGAGATGCCGAGCAGTGCCGAGAGCCGCCGATGCTTCGACCTTCAGCCCAAGCGTCAATCAATGCCTTCTTGGGGCGAAGTTGGCCGGACTGTAAGCCCGTTAGCGTTTGGGATACGCCGGATGACACGAACCTTGATGCTTACCAATGCTGCGATGCATGCAATGCCGGCGGTATCCCTGGCTGAAGCGCCCATCGCCGTTAGAGATTGATACCCGGGTGGATCGGAGGGTCCCCTTGGTCTTTCCACCAATAATGGGGGTATCTCACTGCCTTGTTCAGGAACAGAAGCTTAGCATGATTCAGTATTTCACGTATAAAACTCTCCAGGACTTCCGTCGTTGAGACGCTCTATCCAACAACACCTCACTCTTCCACTCGTTCTCCTTTCTTCCTGTTGACCAGACCCCGTCCATTCTTTTGATCGAAACCTGTTCTGTTGACCAGAACCTATTCAAACAATCACCATGCACTCCTACCAGCTTCTTGGCCTGGCCGCTGTCGGCTCCCTCGTCTCTGCCGCTCCCGCTCCTTCTCGCGTCTCCGAGTTCGCTAAGAAGGCCTCCACCTGCACTTTCACCTCTGCCTCTGAGGCCAGCGAGAGCATCTCCAGCTGCTCCGATGTTGTCCTGAGCAGCATCGAGGTCCCCGCTGGTGAGACCCTCGACCTGTCCGACGCTGCTGATGGCTCCACCGTATGTATTTCTCAGCTGTCTCTCACCTTCACCAATACGCTAACATCAGCTAGATAACCTTCGAGGGTACCACTTCTTTCGGCTACAAGGAATGGAAGGGCCCCCTGATCCGCTTCGGTGGTAAGGACCTGACTGTCACCATGGCCGACGGCGCTGTCATCGACGGTGACGGTTCCCGCTGGTGGGACAGCAAGGGCACCAACGGTGGCAAGACCAAGCCCAAGTTCATGTACATCCACGATGTTGAGGACTCCACCTTCAAGGGCATCAACGTCAAGAACACCCCCGTCCAGGCCATCAGTGTCCAGGCTACCAACGTCCACCTGAACGACTTCACCATCGACAACTCCGACGGTGATGACAACGGTGGCCACAACACCGACGGTTTCGACATCAGCGAGTCCACCGGTGTCTACATTAGCGGTGCGACCGTCAAGAACCAGGACGACTGCATTGCCATCAACTCTGGAGAGGTATTTTACCGCCACGACCATCCAATCACTGCATATCGCTAACAATGAGTTTACAGAGCATCTCTTTCACCGGCGGCACCTGCTCCGGTGGCCACGGTCTCTCCGTCGGATCCGTCGGTGGCCGTGATGACAACACCGTCAAGAACGTGACCATCTCCGACTCCACCGTCAGCGACTCTGCCAACGGTGTCCGCATCAAGACCATCTACAAGGAGACCGGTGATGTCAGCGAGATCACCTACTCCAACATCCAGCTCTCCGGCATCACCAAGTACGGTATCGTCATTGAGCAGGACTACGAGAACGGCTCCCCCACCGGCACCCCCTCCACTGGTATCCCCATCACCGATGTCACCGTTGACGGTATCACCGGTACTCTTGAGGACGACGCCACCCAGGTCTACATCCTCTGCGGTGACGGCTCTTGCTCCGACTGGACCTGGTCCGGTGTTGACCTCTCCGGTGGAAAAGCCAGCGATGACTGCGAGAACGTTCCTTCCGGTGCTTCTTGCTAAATTACTCGCTTTGGAGGTGAGGCAAGACGGCGCCCCTAGGACGTCTGGTTGTATATATTGATCCACTTGACATGTACTAGTTACGTGGGATTACTGCCATAGTGTTAGTGAATAATGGAGCTTTGCTCGATATATGAATTCTTGAAGACATGAATAGTTTGGTAGAGGGAATGGCCTTGGCATCAATCAATGTCTGGCGATGAAGTAATTCGCGAGGTGAATTAGCGCTCATTTCGTGGTATATAAGCCGTCATCCATCGCGCTCTACAAATTTCTCTCTTATATATTCCATTTTATGAACCACCGCTTCCCCTCAGACCAACAAGGTCCTTCTCTATTGATGTCAGATACCAGACTATATCTTGATTCCTGCATGATAAGGAATAAGAGCATGTTTGAGCAGTGTGCAGCAAGGCAACCTTGAAGTAATAATACATAATATACTGCCACGTGCCCACAGAATTTCTACATGAATGTTGTCCTCCACCGTCTAGAGATTCAAAGTTTGAACTTGACGTTCCTAGTCCGCAACGGGGAAAATCCTAGTGCTGTTATCCTAAGAAGCGAGATCGTATCGAAACGTTGGTCGGACGAAAAGAGTCCACTTACGGCCACGGACAACGAAGAGAATTCAATGGAAGCGAGCCATTATACGGATGAAGGTTACACGAATGTGAACTGTCTGCAGAAGCAATTATTCGAGGTACAGGCTGTGGTCAGAGCCGAGCAAAAAATCTTTCGACTTGATACCCAGAGACTAACGCACGATAATTATATGCTCATCGCAATACTTCAGTCGGAATATATCAAGAAGCCCCATGTGAGTTCGATCTACATTGTTAAGAGAAACCATGTGGATGACTATATGAAAGCCCGGAAGACAGACTAGCTCCGGCAACTTTTGGATGGATGATGTGCTGACCCCAAAGCAGAAGATCGAGCTGAAGCGGAGGTCTACCAAATATGACCCGTCTGAAACCTACTGGAGGATTGTCTGTATCAACATGGCCCTCCATCTTGCCAAGAGGAAGGAGGCTCCCGTTGACCCAGTGATGCGGCCAAGCGACCTATAAAGGCGAAGAGGCTTGAAACACCAACGAAGTTACACCAACGAAGTATATCCACCGCAATCAATTCCACACTGCCTTCGACAATGCCTCAGTCCACATTCTTCTTGAACATACACTAGCATAGATTAACTCTGAATTTCCCGCAGAATAACCCCCATTCTCCGCTTTCTTCCTCGCGGACAGTGACACGGGAGATCAGCGGAGGGTCCAATGCCAACTTATAGGGTTGCTGCTTACCGATTGTCAGCGCAATAAAGACCTCCATCGAAATACCACCTGCTGGTGGACGAGTTCTTAAGCGCAGCTGCTATTCCGTGGTGCATCATCGGGCCCATCAGAGGCAATGCCAGCCTATTACCGGATCAAAGCGCAACCCAGGCTATGTGCTTGGTTAATTTCTGTGACATCATCCGCGGTGAAAGTGTCCTGTCTAGGCCTGGCGAATACTCGGAGCGTTACTCTTATCGACTACAGGATCAAAATGCTATGCCTCTTATGGAACCCCGCCAAGTAGCCGGCTTCATCAAAAGGAAGCTCACCGGAACGCATCGCACCTTCAGGGGAGGCATTGAAAGCGCCCGGACTGTGGTCATTACATCGTACCAGACATGGAAAAGCCGGCATAAACCTTGGGCAGTCAAGGCATGGTGCGCAAAGACGAAAAGCGAGTATGACCCACTGTACCCCAAAATGCCGACATACTCCAGTCCCGTCTATTTGTCGCCGCCGCCGCCTACTACGCCTACTAATACTACAATCACAACCACAACCACAACTACAACCACAACTACAACCACAACTACAACCACAACTACAACCACAACTACAACCACAAC